TGTTGGTTTGTGCGGTGCAAAACTGAAACTTTGGCTGTAGTGCACGATTTTACATTTTTACTGGAACGTCAAACGGTTCTGAAACTTTTTTCACTGTCTTTCTATACAAATTGTTTATTTTTCCTATTTTTCCAGAAATTTTTTGGAGTACCAGAATTATGGTGAATGTTCAGATTACTACAGATTGTCCTGTTTAAGACAGATTCTGTTTTTGATGCATTGTTTGCGTGTTTTGATGAAACTATAGATTTATATCAGTGGATTAAGCCATAGAAAAGTTATATTACAGTAGCTACAATGCAAAAACAAAATATGAATTGGTTTGCAACAATACTTAGAGTAGTGATTTGCTTTATTATACTAACAGATCTTACTGAACTTTCTGTTGAGTTTTGTGTGGATGAAGTGATCAAGGATCGAGGAGGTCTCGATATGAGGAGGAGGAGGAGAGGCAAGAGATCAAGCTTGGGGATGCCCAAGGCACCCCAAGTAAATATTCAAGGAGACTCAAGAGTCTAAGCTTGGGGATGCCCCGGAAGGCATCCCATCTTTCTTCAACAAGTATCGATATGTTTTTGGTTTTGTTCATGTGATATGTGCAAATCTTGGAGCGTCTTTTGCATTCAGTTTTCACTTTTCTTTGATGCACCATGCTGGTATGAGATAGTCCATGGTTGATTTATAGAATGCTCATTGCACTTCACTTATATCTTTTGAGAATGGCTTTATAGAATGCTTCATGTGCATCACATATATCATTTAAAGTTTGGATTGCCTGTTTCCTTACACATAGAAAACCGCCATTTGTAGAATGCTCTTTTACTTCACTTATATCTGTTAGAGCGTGGGCATATCTTTTATAGAAAGAATTAAACTCTCTTGATTCACTTATATCTATTTAGAGAGATGACAGGAATTGGTCATTCACATGGTTAGTCATTAAATCCTACATAAAACTTGTAGATCACTGAATATGATATGTTTGATTCCTTGCAATAGCTTTGCGGTATAAAGATGGTGATATTAGAGTCATGCTAGTGGGTAGTTGTGGATTGTAAAAATATTTGTGTTGAAGTTTGTGATTCCCGTAGCATGCACGTACGATGAACCGTTATGTAACGAAGTTGGAGCATGAGGTATTTATTGATTGTCTTCCTTATGAGTAGCGGTCGAGGATGAGTGATGGTCTTTTCCTACCAATCTATCTCCCTAGGAGCATGTGCGTAGTACTTTGTTTCGATGACTAATAGATTTTTGCAATAAGTATGTGAGTTCTTTATGTCTAATGTTGAGTCCATGCATTATACACACTCTCACGCTTCCATCATTCCTAGCCTCTTCGGTACCGTGCATTGCCCTTTCTCACCTTGAGAGTCGGTGCAAACTTTGCCGGTGTATCCAAACCCCGTGACATGATACGCTCTATCACACATAAGCCTCCTTATATCTTCCTCAAAACAATCATCATACCTATCTATCATGGCATTTCCATAGCCATTCCGAGATATATTGCCATGCAACTTCCATCATCATCATATACATGACTTGATCATTTATTGTCATATTGCTTTGCATGATCGTAAGATAGCTAGCATGATGTTTTCATGGCTTGTCACTTTTTTGATTTCATTGCCACACTAGATCATTGCACATCTCGGTACACCGCCAGAGGCATTCATATAGAGTCATATTTTTGTTCTAGTATCGAGTTGTAATATTGAGTTGTAAGTAAATAAAAGTGTGATGATCATCATTATTAGAACATTGTCCCATGTGAGGTTATCAAAATAAAAGTGGACAGAGAAGCCCCCTCCCCCAAAGAGAGAGAGAGAGAGGGAGGGAGAGAGAGAGAGAGAGAGAAAGAGAGACCAAAGAAGCCTACAAAAAAGAAAAAAAATGAGAGAAAAGAGAGAAGGGACAATGTTACTATCCTTTTACCACACTTGTGCTTTAGAGTAGTACCATGTTCTTCATATAAAGGGTCTCTTCAGTTATCACTTTCATATACTAGTGAGAATTTTCATTATAGAACTTGGCTTGTATATTCCAACGATGGGCTTCCTCAAGTGCCCTAGGTGTTCATGAGCAAGCAAGTTGGATGCACACCCACTTAGTTTTAGTTTGAGCTTTCATACACTTATAGCTCTAGTGCATCTGTTGCATGGCAATCCCTACTCCTTGCGTCGACATCAATTGATGGGCATATCCATAGCCCGTTGATTAGCCACGTCGATGTGAGACTTTCTCCCTTTTTTGTCTTCTCCACACAACCTTCATCATCATATTCTATTCCACCTGTAGTGTTATATCCATGCCTCACGCTCATGTATTGCATGAAAGTTGAAAAGGTTTAAGAACATCAAAAGTATGAAACAATTGCTTGGCTTGTCATCGGGGTTGTGCATGATTTGAATATTTTGTGTGATGAAGATGGAGCATAGCGAGACTATATGATTTTGTAGGGATAACTTTCTTTGGCCATGTTATTTTGAAAAGACATGATTGCTTTATTAGTATGCTTGAAGTATTATTGTCTTAATGTCAAATGATAGACTATTGCTTTGAATCACTCGTGTCTTAATATTCATGCCATGATTAGATTACATCATCAAGATTATGCTAGGTAGCATTCCACATCAAAAATTATCTTTTTTATCATTTACCTACTCGAGGCGAGCATGAATTAAGCTTGGGGATGCTGATACGTCTCCGTCGTATCTATAATTTTTGATTGTTCCATGCCAATATTCTACAACTTTTACATACTTTTGGCAATTTTTTATACTTTTTTTGGGACTAACATGTTGATCCAGTGCCTAGTGCTAGTTCCTATTTTTTTGCATGTTTTTTGTTTCGCAGAAAATCCATATCAAACGGGATAAAAACTTACAGAGATTTTTTTGGAATACATGTGAATTTTGGGAAGTGGAATCAACGCGAGACGATGCCCGAGGGGCCCGCGAGGGTGAGCACGACAGAGACCCGGAAGTACTACCGCAAAACCCGACACGAAAAATCGAGGCCCCAACCACGAGCGATAGTATGAGCGGGACTAGCAGCGGTACTACCGCTGCTGCCCGCGGTACTACCGCTTGCAACACTCCACCACTCCTTCGGTACACAAGATGGACAACTCCAAAGAGGCGGAAAGTGGCGATGGGTGCAAGATGTGAGTGTACGGTTTGATTCCACCCAAACCTTTCCGAAGCAGACCCCCTCTTGATAGTACGTTTTTCGCTATGACTCAAGTCCACCAAAAAGAAATGCAGGAAAGAAAACCGTCTTCACTTGAGACTCCGAGGGGCATGAATCATCTTGTGCCATATGCTTGAAAGTATGAATTGCTCAATGCACATGATTAGTTCGCAAACACATTGTCATCAATCCCCAAAAGCACTTAGGGAGAAATATGCCCTAACAGGGGGATTCGTGTAAATAGTAGTCGGATGTACTAATGAGAGTACGCACAAGGGTTTATATAGGTTCGAGCCCTCTTCGGTGGAGGTAACACCCTACTCCTGTGGCGCTCTTACCTCTTGCCATAAGGTACACAGGGTGAATGCTCCACCATCATCCCGGTGCTCCCCTCCCGGCTTATATAGAGTGCGCTAGGAGGGGCACATAATGAGCTGGTATTAATGCTATTCATGGGCACATGCATGGCTGAATGTTCCAAGCTGTTACTGTTAGTAACTCCCGTATTTAACTAGATTATGTCATCGTTGGGTAACTGAAGTCATTAAGACATCATGGGTGTGAGGCATCCTAGGTAGCATCTAACTGTAAGACAAACCGGCTACCCCGTCTTCTTATAGATCGACTATAGGATCACCCATCAAGGGGTGTAGGATTCGACTGTAGGGTCTTGGTATGGTCCTGAGCCACCCCTCTGGTCTTTGATAGCTTGGACTTTATCTTCGGCGGGCCAATGGTGATAACCCTTGGCCCGTGATCTTTTGGGGCGTATCCTTGATGGGCTATGGCTCCCATACTAGGTCATTCGTATACTTGGGCCTACCCCGTATCTGTAACCTCGACAAGATGTAATTAAATTTTCCTCGGTATTTCACAATGGACCTCCTTGGCAGGGTTCAATATTGATCTCATATCTAAGTATAAGGCACTAGGACCAAATCCCCATGTGCCTTGGCAATCGCCAACCACTTCGCCTCCACTCGTTTGTCGCTTAGCTCATTTTATAGGGCACATATAGTTTGCTCCCCTTGTTTCTCCATGGAAAGAAGCATAGAGGAACCCTACTACCCCATGATCTTAAATTCAAGCGCCAAAGGAACACGTACCAAGATAATATTATATCGCCTTGACCACTTGCATCGAATCAGACTTGATATAATATTATTGCAACCTAGTATATTTGCTAAGATACCATTGCACAAATAAAAATAGTTCTTTTAGACACGACGCAATTTTTTCTAGAAATGAGGTGACCAAAGGAGGGAGACTATAATCCATCATGGTGTGTTTGGTTGCAAAGTTTTTCTTTTTGAAAGTATTTCAAGAACACCATAGTATCTTGAAAAACAATGTTTTCAAACACTTTGAGGTGTTTGCTCTAGTTAAATTTGTATTTTTATAAATCACAGTATCCATATTTTTGGTATTTTGTAGTATTAAAAAGAGAGACAGAGATCCATTTTTTCTTTTAAAATCCGAGAAACGCAACAAACGCTCTCTCCAATGAAGTCTAAATACATTGCTACTATTTTTGTAAATAGTACCCCCTCTGGAAACTAATATAAGTCATTTTAGGTCATTAACTGATGTTTTCATAAACTATAGTATGCATTGTCATGGGATAAAAAACAGTAGTATCAGTCTTCTAAAAAAATTTGCTTCCAGAGTCTCAACCTTATGTGCCCTGCTTGCTTGACGGGCGTGTACCGTTGATTTCAAACAAACGGCCGGGATCTGTCCTAACTCGACTCTTCTTCCACACTTGTCCCCGTCGCCAGTCGCCACCGCTCCCCGCCCACCTCGAAATGGATCCCGCGCCGGCGACCCCTCGCTGGAACCTGGAGCGCCCCTACCTCACCGGACGCTTCCACCAGGTAAGCCCTTCCTCTTCCCAGCAATATCCAACCCGCCCCACCAGTATTGCTGCGCCGGCCTCACATCCTCCGCTCGTGCCCTGGCAGGAGGCGAAGGTGTACGCGGCGTCGCAGGCGCCCGGATCCAAGCCTTTCTCTCTCGACTCCTTCAGGTACGTATGGCGGATAAATTCGTGTCCTGTGGACGGTTGCCTCGTGGTTCTGTTTCCTCGGGTGGTCTCTGATGCCTGGAGTTGGTTTGAATCTGCAGCCGCGGTGCTGGCGGCGGCGCTGGGAGTGTCCTCGGATCGTACGCTGTTTCTGTGCAGGTAAGCGGAATTTTGAAAATTTCAACCGGCGAAATTGGAGCTTGGGTTTACTTGTATATGTTTGTGAACTGGAGCTAGGGTTTTGATTTTGAACTTGAGCTCAGTGATTCGGTAATTAGAAGGGTTTTGATTTTGAATTTGTGCTCAGTCATTTGGCAATTAGAAGGGTTTTGATGTGTTTTTTTGTTTTTATTTTTTACTAGTATGTGAACTTTAAATCTTTGTTAATCGCTGTTTGAGATTGTAGCCACTGTGCAGGGAGTTCCATTGAAGTATGGGATTTTGCTTTTTGAGATTTTCTACTTCATGAATTTCAGCAATTGATATGCTCTTCTTTTTCCAGTAATGCAACGATTCTTACTTAGGCATTATCATTATTATTTTTGGATTGGATGGCCAATCTGGTGTGGATTGAAAACAGTTTGGGATAGTCTCTTTTACAAATATGCAGTTTTTTTTAAAGGAAATATGCAGTTTCTGGTCGAATGTGGTTTCAGTTTTGCATTTAGAGCATATGGGTTCGTATGTTTGCGGTGCTTTAGGAAATGATGCACTAAATATAACGTTCACTGTGATAAGACCACAGAACATTGCTGAATTTCCACACCATTTCCGAAAATAGCCATCCGGAGAGGATTAACATCTGTACTTTCAGTTAGAAATGCTAAATTGATGGAGCTTTCGCAATCAACTGTGTTGCGTAACAACTTTATTAATTGTAACTGTCCTGATTGATATGCAGGAGCTTTTAGTTATTGATGATTTGCTATCAGCTCTGGTGGGTATTGAGGGAAGATACATTTCGATTAAGAGAGTACGCGGAAAGGAGGGATATGTTGTCTTCCAGATTGATTCTTCAATGGACCTTGCACTCCAGGTAAGCTGTGACCATGCCAAAAAAGGGAGGATATATTTGGGTTTGGCTAATCTTGCTCTTGCAGGAGTTGACTCGCCGAATTTTCCCCTTATGTGAAGATTTTGTGCTAGCAAGCCAGTTTGTGGAGTCCAGGTCTCATTTCAAAAATGGTTTGGTCAACCATGCTCTAGCGGCTGCTCTAAGGGCATTCCTCCTGGTATAGTTCCTATCATGAGAGAGACAATTTAGATTTTTCCATGTGTACAACCTTTCTTCTATTTGGGAAAGTGGGAGAAGGAATATAGTGCTGACTGTATAATGTGTTGAGGGTTCATTCTTGTATTGAGATAATCCCACTGATAGGCATTAACCTTGTTACATTGTTCTCCACAGAGCTCTTTGACAGTATCGGTGCTTCTATGTGAATTTGGCACAACATTATTAAGTCTAGTATTTTTTAATAACAGGATTATCAGGCAATGGTTGCTCAACTGGAGCATCAATTCCGTCTTGGAAGGCTCTCTGTTCAAGGATTATGGTTCTTTTGTCAGGTATTTCTTCTTTATCTGCATTTAACCAATTATTTGTAAACTTATCAGTGTCTGGTTACTGTTTTAAGCACTGTAAGTCCTGTGTTTCTTTCACAGCGGATGATGAGTTCATTGAATGCACTGGCTGTTCTAATAGAGAAGGCAATGTCCAATAATACCAGTGGTTCGGCGACACTTAATCTACTTCATAGTCAGGTAAATTTAGTGAAAGAGGTTTTTAGATCCTTGATAAGTACATTTCCCCTTTTCCTCCTAAATCTGAGCTAAACAGACCTGGCCAGCTCCTCTTTTGTTTCCCAGTGATAGAACAACTTGAGCTAAATATACCAGTGGTGCTTGAACTTGCCATGGATGTTCACTTTGGTGCCTAAACTTGAAAAATACACCAAACTAGTTCTAAAACTTGGCACGAACGTGCAAATACGGTGCCAATGTTGTCCGTAGATGTACCTTCGGGGATCCCTGTGCTAGCCACCAGAACCAACATGTTTTGTTGACAAAGAGAGTCCCTCAAGTATTATGTATTGAACAAAAAAACTCTTATGTGCTTAAATTGACTGCAGCCAGTGGCCCATGTTGGAAACATTTTTTTAAAATGTAAAAAGTATGTAAATAATAATCATAATAATAAAAGTTAGATTCAAATATTCATGTGTTATTAATATTTACCTCATGCTATGCAAATATCGGTGTGCACACAGAGTAAATATATAGAGGTATGCGATAAAAAAATTTACTTTTAGAAATATTAACTAATTATTTGGAAAATACTATTTTAAATATAACATATGAGTGTTTCAAACTGTTCATAAACAAACATTGAAAATAGACAGTCATGGATTATATTTAACAATGATATACAAATATATAAAATGTACAGTCATGAATAATATATATGAATTATAACAATGTTTGAATAATATAAATAATTCATTTATTTTAGATTACCATTTGTAAATATTCGTTCAATTATTCAAACATTTGAATAATTATTCACATATTTTCAATTTTTATATTTACAAATATTTTTAAACAATCATGTATTATATTTAAAAATGAATTTTCTAAATAATAAGTCAATATTTCTAAAACTTACAGGAACATTTTTTAGTAAGTTATTTTATTAAACTCCTCTATATATTTATTTTTTGTGCACACGGATATTTGTGTAGCATGGGGTAATTATTACTCACACATATTTGAATCTGCATTTTATTATTATGATTAGTACTAATATGCTTTTCACTTTTTTTTGAAAAAATAACGTGTGCAAAATGGGCCACTGGCTACAGCCAATTTATGGGCACAAGACTTTTATATAAAATACATATAAATGGAGTTGCCATTTTTATAACCAGTACATGTTTGGTAATAGTGGGTATCGCAACTAGCGAGCACACATCAGGTTGCTTGTTCGATTCCTGTCGCATTTTTTCATTCTTCATATTAATTTTTCTAATGTACTGACAGGTGGGTCCACTAGTTATAGAGTCAAGTAATAATTCTGTTTCCTAGCTACAATTGGGGCCTACGCCATGTCGGTGCCACATCATCCATATACGGCACTTTGCATCTACAGATGGGATTAGCACCGTATTTGCACGTTCGTGCCAAGTTTTAGAACCAGTTCGGTGTATTTTTCAAGTTCAGGCACTAAAGTGAACATCCATGACAAGTTAAAGCACCACTAGCGTATTTACCTCGAACAACTTCTATAGAACTAATCTTTTAAGGTTCAGTTCTTCATAGCTTGTTTAGCTTAGTCCACGCGATTATCTCTTTTACCATGTAATTTAATAATCCTATCTTTCTAATTAGGCAAAGGCGATGGCTGGCGATAGTGCTGTTCGGTCATTACTGGAGAAGATGACCGATTGTGCAAGTGCAGCATACCTCAGGATGTTGGAAAGGTTTGTGATGGTTCGTAACTACCTTTATCATTCAGTTTTAGGACTGAGGCACTTCCTCGATCCATAAAAATTCTATATTGGCTAGCTGTGTCTTATTTGGACTTTTAATATTGGGTGTTGCTTAGAAAAAATATTTTAGTAAGCTTGTTTGCAGCGTCATTAATTTCACTTTCTGATTATCATTTTAGATGGGTGTATGAGGGTGTCATAGATGACCCTTATGGTGAATTCTTCATTGCTGAAAACAAATCTCTGCAGAAGGTACTTATTGACTTGTAAAATTTTGGATCTACTTAACGTCCACTGTTCTCTGTATTTACCTAAAATGCTGGGCATATTTGTGTCTTAAGTTAATCAGGTGCTTTGCCTTCTTCTTTTATTTTGGTAGGAGAGTCTGACTCAAGATTATGATGCCAAATATTGGCAGCAACGGTACAGCCTAAAAGATGGCATCCCTAGTTTTCTCAATAATGTTGCTGCCACCATTCTGACAACAGGAAAGTATCTTAATGTTATGAGAGAATGTGGGCACAATGTTCAGGTACACATGATTATTCTTTGGTTGAATGATAGAGTATTATGTTATATTTGTGTTTACAAAATGCACTTATGTTGGATATTTTATTTAGGTTTCCCTGTCAGAAAACTCTAAGCTGACGAGCTTTGGTTCAAACCACCAATATCTTGAGTGCATCAAATCTGCTTATGATTTTGCAAGTGGTGAGCTCTTGACTCTAATGAAGGATAAGGTAACGACTGTTTGTAGGTAATATACTACTGCGTTTCACTCGCTTCTAAGGTCACTTGCTAAATTCAGTGTGCATATTTACAGTATGATCTCATTGGGAAACTGCGATCATTGAAGCGCTATCTACTTCTTGACCAAGTATGTGTAACATTTACTCTTCATAGTTTTGTGTTGTTACTATATATGAGTACTCATTGACTTACATCTGATGTACATCTACACCTGGGCTTTATGATTTTGAATATTATGTGCGTGTAGTCTGTTAAAATACAGAAAAACACATTCTTTGTGCATTCTGTTTTATGAATGCCTTAACAGTGAGAATGATTCATGTTGCCCAACTTGATTTTAAACATTCATGTTTATTTTTCTCGCACTAGTTATCTAATTTGTTTCCTTTAGTTTTGCAGGGTGATTTTTTGGTTCATTTTATGGATATTGCCCGAGAGGAGCTTACAAAGAAACCAGAAGATATATCCGTTGAAAAACTTCAGGTTCCTCTTGTGCTATGTTGTTGTCTCTTTGTTTCTCGTCATGGTGAAAACAGATTTTTGTCAGCTCTTGTCATGATAATTGATAAGCTAACTGTCCGCCATTGTGTTATTCTCTCTCTATTCATTATCTACACCAGTCTCTTGTTGACATCGCGTTGCGAAGTACAGCAGCTGCTTCCGATCCAAGTCATGAAGATTTGACTTGTTGCGTTGTAAGTCTATTATCCGAGTCTAGTCAAATCATACTGTATCCGTTGACTATCATATTCACATATTTTATGAAACAGGAAAGAAGTTCCCTGCTTAAAAAGCTGACAACCCTGAAAGACTTGGACTGTGCTTACTCTTCAGACAAGCTTGCTGCAGCTGATGTTGATCAGCCCATGACATTAAACATAACTGGCTTGGAAACGTTCTGCCTTGGCTACAAGGTTTTGTTTGTATTTTCTTTAAGTATTTCTCATTGCATTTATCTTGTGATAGTGAAATGATATACCTGAACGATATTGCAGATTCCATGGCCACTATCTCTTGTAATTTCAAGGAAGGCTTTAACAAAGTATCAATTGATCTTTCGTCTATTGTTTCACTGCAAACATGTTAGTCGCCAATTGTGTCAAGCGTGGCAGATCCAACAAGTATGACATAACCTTATATCCATTAAGTCAGTTACATTATTATTTTTGTTTACATACTCATGTCAACCTCTCAAACAGGGGTTCCGGTCTGTCAAGATTCTAGGAACACCAATTCTACGGTCATCGATTCTTTGTCGCAGCATGCTCAAGTTTGTAAACAGCCTTCTACATTATCTAACTTTTGAGGTAAACCATCCATACCAGTTTCACCATACCTACTGTTACTGAAGGTGATAAAATTGTTAATTACTCCTTGGCCCTCAGGTTCTTGAACCAAACTGGCATTCAATGCATGGCCGCCTTCAAACTGCAAGGAGCATCGATGAGGTTTTAACCATGTCCTTATGATTAAGTTATCTGCACCGCCAACAGTGCAGATTACGTTACTTTTGCTGTGATGCTGATTGCAGGTCATCCAGATACACGATTTCTTCCTCCAGAAGTGTCTAAAGGAATGCTTGCTGTTGTTGCCTGAGCTCCTCATGGTCTGTCCTTGCTCTTTGTCTGTTTGTTTAAAATAATTAAAAGGAAATTACAGTTCAAAAGTAATTGTTACGCATCAATAACTGCAGTCCATTTTCTTCCTTTTAACTGTTGACGAACTATCTGTTTAATTCAATGACTCTTGTTGTCATGATCTTTACATGCTCGACCTGTAAAGAGTGAAGGCATCATGTGTCCTAACTTGAATGTTGTGAATCATCTACACGTGGCCAAAGTTCAACATTTAGCTCATATTCCATCAAAACGCCATGCTTATCTCATCCTTATTTTCCATTAAGGAGTCATAAGAGTTATAACTTTGGTTTGTCGGATGGGACTGAGGCCTTGTTTGTTTGGGCTTCGGCTTGCATAGAATCAGTTGTGGATTCACTGTGGTGGAAAAGCTGATTCGCTGAGGAATCAGCTGCAGTGAAGGTTAGCCGTTTGGCAAAGTAGCTGTGGGTTCGGCTTTGATCCGGTGAAAAGGCTGAAACGCCCCTAAAGTCCCGAGATGAGTGTAGGGAGGCCGGCGTGCTCACCCCAGCTGGCGCCATTGATACACGAGAAGATAGGTGACACGCTCCGGGAGGTAGGGATGCCGGCATGCTCCGGCGTTGGAGAGGTGTCCTGCTACTCGAGGTCCGGGAGGCCGGCTTTGGGTCAAGGTTGCAGAGGACAGAGGGGAGGTGGCAGACGACCGGAGTTGGGCCGAGGTGACAGGCAACCAGCGACCGACGTCCGGGAAAGGCGGTGAACGACTGAGAGGAGGATCCGTTGAGGTGACCCGTGTTGGGACGGCGGCGGCGGCGCCCGATGTGGCTAGAAAACCTAGCCTCGATCTGTTTCAGGACGGGGGCATCGAACGAGACGAGTACTCGATGGCTGCCTGCGGTGGCATTTTTGCCGTAATTACCGTGAAGTGCCAGGGGCGGGGTTGACGTGGGAACCAGCTTCGCTGCTGAATCGGTGCTTCAGCCCATTGCACTTCGAACAGCCCGAATCGGCTCTCGGCTTCGATTCCACAGCTGGCCTAATCTACGCGTTTGTTTCAGCTTCAGATTAATCCTATGAGAATCTGCCTTGTAAATCTGAAACAAACAGGGCCTGAGTTTTGCAAATTTATTAACCCGTGTGTTTCTTTTCAAACGTAGCTATAGTGCATAATCTGTTGGGAAAATGTAGCTACATATGGTGACATAGTTAAAAAAAGCGCGCCTAAGTGAGCGGTTAAGTGCGCCTAGGCTCTAGGCGATAGCAAAACGCCTAGCGCATAGCTGCGCTTAATCTGCGCATAATTGCGCATAAGCATGCGCTTTGGTCAGAAAAGCGCAAGGCGGTGGCAGAACGCACAATTAACGGCTTGCGCTTTTTTGAACTATGATATGGTCTCGAAACAATATTTTGAAGCGGGCACCATTTAGCATCGTGCTTGCCGTAAAAGCAACAACTTATTATCATTTATCTGTGATGTGCAGAAAGTTGAGAAGCTGAAAGCATTATGTCTCCAATACGCGACTTCCATCCAGCTCTTGATACCGTCCATCGAGGTCGCTGCTCCTGAGAGCAAATCGAAATCTGGGTCGTCGAGAGCAAGAGCCAAGAGATCACAGGACAGAGACGAGCAACTGAAACTAGCATCCGAGAACGTCGTGATGTCGCAGTCAATCCTGTATGTATCTCGATGTCCCAGTCAGTCAATTTTACAAAGTCTCGTTCCTACGCAGTTCAGGATTGTAACACACCATCTTGCCTTGTCTGCCGCAGGAAATTCGAGTCGGAGTTCAACGCGGAGCTCCAGAGCCTCGCTCCTACGCTGAGCAAGAGCTCACAGGCCGAACCGTACCTGACCCATCTCGCGCAGTGCATTCTCGGCGTCGGAATCGACCAGTGAGCTTCTTCAGGGGTTCCATGTTCAGATGGTTGCAAAGTTTGCATGTGTGGTTGTGTGCGTGTGCGATTCCGCGGCGTGGCAGTGCGCTTGCTGCCGTCGACGCCGGTGTGCGGTCTTGTGGGTGAGCTGGAAACTTGTAAAACATACAGAATTATGCTTCCACGTGGTGGATGTAGTCATGTAGATGCTTGGTTAGGCTTTAATTAGCTGGTGCTGTAGGCTGGTGTAACTGTTTGATTATACATACTCTGGTGGTGTGTTTGTGTGCTGCGATTCAGCATGCCAGGCTCTGTGCCTCAGGGACTGGCTCGTGTTGTTTGAGACGAGTCGCCGATGTAGTAAGCCTGCAGCTTCAAGAGCCTGGCTACGACTCAGAGGGTAAGCCTCATTTTTTTTTTTGAGGATCAGGGGAAGCCTCAATTGTGACCTGTGGTTTGTTCCGTCCATGTGTTGTGTGCGTGCGTGATGGGCCGAACTTTTTTCCCTTTTCTTTTTCATTTTATGATACTGTGATCGGCCAAACTGGGTACCACATGTTATGTTATCAAACGTCGTAATGATTGGTCTGGTACCTGCATCCCATTTCATGTGTAGAGAAGCACCACTGCAGACCAAATAATGCCTGTCGTGCATCACCACTAACACCCGCCTCGAAGCACCACTGCATCCACTTGGCAAGGAGGCCAGGGCTTCTTTGGTACTCTCTTTGTAAAGAAATATAGTAACGTTTAGTTCACTAGAGTAGTAACCTAAACGCTCTTATATTTCTCTACGGAAGGGGTACAAAGGAATTCCATAGGATTTGAACTCTTAGGAATATGTCTTGTGATGATAGCTTTGATTCGCAGGATTGAAAACCTTAGGATTTTTTTTGTAGGATCCATTTGTATTATATTTTGGAGGAAAATTTTCATCCACTCAAACCTCTTTAAACAATTTTTTTTGTTTGTCCGACGCTATCAGACACCCCTTCAAATCCTGTAGAGCACTATAGGACATGTCACTCATCCTGCATTTTTCCTATTCCTGTGTTTTCACTGTTTTTGAGAATCCTGCGCGGCCACGATGCGGGCGAAAGAGACGAAGCTGGCTTGCGACCTGACGTTTTCCCCGTACTTGTCAAAGTTTCGGGTCCATATCCACGCAGACGGAACACGCCGGTGGGACGATCTGAAGCCGGAAAGAGGCCGCAATCCAGCGCACGACGCCCCTTCTTTCACCGCCCGCACCGGTCGACGGCCGATCCCCTGAACCTTCACTGCCCACCCACCCGCAGTTAGCTCACTTCCCACTCACACACTCCTTCACTGCCCAGTACCCACCCCACTGCCATCGCCCCCACCACCGGTACTACCAGCAGGTCCAGCGCCACCATCGCCCTACGCCCCCACAGCAACACGAGAAAACCACCGCAAGCACGCGCCCCGCTCCGCCCCGAGACGCGACGGTGGAACCCGGCAGGCACGAGCACGGCGCGCGGACACATAGCCCGAGCGCGCGCGATGGCAGTCGGAGGGCGGCGCGCGGCGGCGGCGGCGTGCGGGCGGTGGTGCCTGGTGATCCTCGCCGTGGCCTCCGCGCTCGGCGTCTCCGGGCCCGCGCTCTACTGGCGCTACAATAAGGGCTTCTCCTCCGCCGCCGCGGCCGCCGTCTCCGCCCCCTCCTGCCCGCCCTGCACCTGCGACTGCCCGCCGCCGCTCTCCCTCCAGTCCATCGCGCCCGGTGAGAGCCCCCCTCTCTTCAGATCTCGCACCGACGCGCGGTTCTATGCATAACGAAAATGGGCCCATCGGTTGAGACTAGCGTTAACTAGGTGGATGCGGTTGCTTATGAGTGTCGACGGACTGAATACACTGCTAGCAATAGACAATTTATATTGTACATATATGCTTTTAACTGGATCGATAAAGTGATGTCTGACATGGTTTTGCATTTCCTTCCTTTGCAGGGCTCGTGAACTTCTCAATTTCAGGTTTGAGCTCCTTCTTCACAGTCCATTTAATAGAGGTTCAGTATTATCCAGTCTTCTCATTGTAATTTGTTGAGTGTGAACTGAAACAAGAGAGAGTATAGCTGACATCTGATGGAGAACGACGTCACTTGTGAAGTTCTGATCATGATATTTTCTATACCAGACAGTTCAACCTGCAACTTTAGAATTTCCTGGAATCTTATCACCCTCCGACACAATTTAGACGTCCAGGGTTGTTGACATGCCTGTCATTTTAATGGTGTTATTCTTCACAGTTCCTGTTGCCAAATTGTTTGAACAAAGTAGTGCCTGTCAGCAGTACTGAAGTTTTATAGTAACCAAAACATAAGTAATACTCTATGAAGTGTTAGGTAAAATATTATCCCCAGTTTGTTTTATGTTCATATATTGCTCTTTTAAACTACTGGCGAGTTAAGTATCAGGCTGGATATAGATCATTTTGCAGTTTCTGAAAGACTTGACTCTTAAGGACTTCAGCATGAAACCTGTGAGATTTGTCTAATGATAGACTCTATTGAATGACCTAGTGTATACTAGTATTTGCTAAATCAACCAAATATATTGAGAAAAACGTGTGTTTATATTTGCTCAGAGTTTTGATGCTTTTGTCGTATAGTAATGTGAACAATACACAAGAAAGGCTAATGATGCTGTTGTTCTTAATTTATGTTGGTATGCATCATATGCTCACAAGCTTAGGTCCAAATATTACTTCATATGTACAATACCATCCAAATTCTTGGTTTGTCTCATAACACATTAACTTTTTGCAACCAAACATGGATTACTTCATGCTATTTCCAGTGGCACCTTAACATTAAAACCAAACATGGATTACTTCCTGTTATTTGTAGTAAGGGGTGATTACTCCCCTGCACTGGTTTTACGTGCCATGCAGCTTACAAATGCCGACAAAGTAATACATTTTTCTCAGTAGTATCTATCAACCACTTAAGAAACTAGCACTACACCTGCACATATGGCTTTCACCTACATAACTCATCGTTGATGGTACAATTACAAATGCTCTATAAGAGAAATTAGTGTAAACCATTTCCAGTATTGCTGCCCAAGTTCTTGTGAGCTGGAACTATCGTAAATTCCTTTTCACATGGTTATATCTGTTATGAGGCTGTGTTGACTGGAAAAATAATTTGAATTGAAAAATGCAGCTTGCGGCACAAATGACCCTGAGCGTACCAAGGAGATGGAGAAGCAGTTTGTTGATCTCCTCAACGAGGAACTCAAGTTGCAGCAGGTTGTAGCTGAGGAGCACATCCATCACATGAATGCCACACTTGTCGAAGCAAAAAGACAGGCTACCCTGTACCAGCGAGAGGCGGAGAAGTGTAACGCGGCCACAGAGACTTGTGAGGAAGCCAGGGAGAAGTCTGAGGGGGCAATCTCAAAGGAGAGGAAACTGACAGCACTGTGGGAACGCCGAGCTCGCGAATCGGGTTGGCAGGATTCTCGAGCCGCGACCGCCGCACGATAGCTTGGCAAGCAGTTTGCTTCTGCAGGTAAAAGTATTTGCAGCAGACGACATTTTTACCACACCGTCACCGAGCAACGTTAGCTGTAATGGTCCACGTGTAATGTTTGCCAGTGTATTATGAGTTGTCCCAGTTGAAGTATAGTTACTCTAGACACTGTAGATTCCTTATAAATGTAACTAGTATACATTGTTTAAGTATGCAAGCTTTATTGTAACGTATATTGAAGACATTCAGTGTAGTGTTGTGGCTGTAGATCAAAAGGCGGTTTCTGCCTTCGACGAAATTCAGTAATGCATCTGCAGTTTGATTCACAGTATCGAACTTCAAGCTATTTTTACCAGCAGGCTCGTGGAGACAGATCTTGCTTTACTTTTGGTCTTTATTTTCATGGTGTTCAGCAAGATGATGCACATCTTCTTAGAGCTAGTGCTTGGTACCATCATATGTTCGGAATGTGCACTATTTCTGTTAGCATGGAGACACCTTCAGTTTTTCTTTTTTGACGGGTGGAGACACCTTAAGTTAGTACTGTTCAGTGCTTGTAGTTGGGAAATACCATTTGTTTTGGGTTGTGTTTATTCCAAGAGGAGCCCAACATTTTGCACCAGCATATGAACTGCTCAGAGAATAAAAGCTGCACCAGGCGAAAAGTAATGCTCCCTCCATCCCAAATGTGTAATCTTTTTATTTTACCAGCAGATTCATGGATAGACCCGTGCAAAAAGAGTAAATGTCAGTTTGGAAAAAAAATTCCCGTGGAAAACGAGTAAAAAAGTAGTGGCCCATACAGGTCTCGAACCTGTGACCTTCGCGTTATTAGCACGACGCTCTAACCAGCTGAGCTAATAGGCCAATTTGATATATGAAATGGTTATAGTACATCACTACCTGTAAGTTAGCAGAACCAAGGAAGATATATACTACCGCCCCGAAATCAGATGCTGCTCTAGCGTTACTCCCTACATGATCCTAGACGCTTCCGTGTTCTCGTCGTCGAAATAATGGAGGTCCCATCGCGGAGGCCTCTGGAACTCGTTGCCTAGAACGGCGTCCATGTCCGGCGCCGGACGGCCGTAACCGTAAGGAGCGTAAGCATCGTCGTCGGGCTCCTGCTTCTCTTCCTCCTGGTTTTCTTCTTCTGGGTCCGGAGGCAGAATCTCCGCCTTCTTCCCGGTCTTCTTCTTGAGCTTCCTCAGCACCTTCTCGGCCTTGAAATCCCCCGTCACCATCACCTTGTTCTCCTCCCTGTCCACCTCCACCGTCTCCACGCCTGCAACCATGGACGGTCATCAGACGTTTACTCCCCATAACATGAACAGGCGTGGAATTCAGCACTTAGTTCTTATTTCTAGTATAAATGCCCGTGCGTTGCACCGGACGAAAAATGAAATATAACCTATTCCACATCTCATTGTGCAACATTTTTTATTGCATTTTTTGCAAACGTTATAAATAGGATTCCACTAAGTATTTCTTTTTGTACGATGAAGGGGATCCCAAAATACGGTGAATCTAGAAAGCGGGGGAGGTGGTAAATATGGGTAGGATGAAGTTGGTGAGGTGGCCGCGCTGCCTTTTGGTGAACTCCAAGGCGACCTCGTTAGATCAAGCGTGTGGCAATGTGGTATAACATGGTACCATTTACTATGTGTAATGCTAATAAATTATTGTATACAACAACAAGAATATACAAAACTTATTTTTTTATGTTAAGAGCGAGCTCAATTCAAAGAAAATTAAATGTCCAAGTTTCTTTACCTCCTTTAAATTGCAACAGTTAAAGCAAAATCTCAAATTACTAATCTCATAATACAAATGACTCTGCTCGTGGTATGATATGATAATGAACACTCTGAACTAATGAAAGTGTAAGCAGGAGCTGAATCATACCTTTAAATACCTGAAAGCATCTTCAAAATATTTTCACCTCACAATAATAAATATAGTTATTAATAACAAAAATGACCAGGAAGCTAAGCTACTTTTTTTAGTACGATGAAAATATGACATGTTCTGACAGGAACCCCTTTATGGCCTGCATAGAGAAAATCAATAACAAATTTAGTGATAAATAGATCAGTAATAACAAAATTGATCCGGAAACTAAAAAAATTAGTACAATGAAAATATGGCATTTCTTTTCAGAGAAAAGAATTTGCAACTCTAAAGAGGCAAAGTAATATGTAAATGTCAGTAAGAGATCGGAAAAAGGCAGTATTGAGCATTGACCTATGCAAATATGTAAAATGGCAGTCAGATCGATCTGCATGTACCATATAGTAGTCCATCACTATGACTATATTTGGAAAGAGGGAACATGTCATGCCAGTCTACCCAAAATTATGGATGCTTCATGATATCCAATTTTTTTAAGCTACAATAATTTATAAGGAAGTGCTTCTCTGGTACATCTTCTGTAACAACAGCCATGTAGAAGCTAACCTTGATGTATCAAATTTGCGTTGGAGAGCGTTGGTGTCATCAAATTTACATTGGAGCGTTGTAGTCCTTCGTTTCAAATTTCAACACCAAAAGCTCCTTTTGTCCAGCGTGCGGATTCTACCATTGCTGCAGCTATGGAGGGCGCTGTCTTTGGATCTCCTGGCCCAAGTAGTACTCGACAGCGTGCTCATGCAGGGATCGGCAGCATGCCAGCCTGTAGGCTCGTGGAGGGAGGAACAGGACGACCACCGGCTGCAGCATCAGCAGGCGAGATGGAGGCGCTCGCTAGAAGAGGAGTGGTGGAAGCGCAGGGTCCTACGGCTAACCGGACAGGCTCCAGGCCACGCGCGATGGCTGTACGTGCAAGGACATCAGGATGAAAACCATGAACTGCAAGGGTGAGCAAACCATCGAGAGGAGCGACGGTGTGCACATCTTGTTGCCGTGAAGCCACCGGAGACACTCCACTCAATCCAGTCGACGGTGATCTTGGAAGCCGGGCCTTGCTTAGAGTGAGCTAATTAACATGAGGTTAGGAGCAGGCGAAGAGGCATCCGGGGCCGGAAGAGGTAGCCTACGACTAACGGCGGGGGACGGGGCCACCCAGCGCCCGAACCCACGGTTTCAAGCCCGGCAAACGTGGTTGCATTTGGCAGTTGAGAACGCCTCCCTACGGCCACACGCGCCGTCCGCATCAGCCCCTCCTTCTTAGCACCAACGATGCGCTCGATACAGGCCTCCTGCACATATACGGCGGCAAGAAGCCCTAAATCCCGGAAGCAGGGAAACTTGAGAGAGGAGATATGGTTCGATGTAAAAAGTGGTGATATTTGGTTAGGTAGTAGGCTTTGATACATATACGGGACGCGTGATTAACTCTAACTTAATCTCGGATTGATTATTTGCTTCGTCTTTCAATCGTACGAAGGCTGGATCGAAGCCTAGCGTTCCCCGGTTCGAATCCTTTATGAGAGTCCGAATAGATCAGGTTGAAGCCCAGCCAGTTGTCAGCGCACCGGGAGCAGGCCTAGGTGGGCGCCGTGAACGTGGCCCAAGCGGGAGTCTGGAAGCGTTTTTGTACAGTTTTAGTACCACCTCGAATATGTTTTAAATTCAAACTGAAAGCGTAAAATCTCAGGAGGAAGCGTATTGTGACGGTGAACCCATGAAGTCAATCCGTACTTTATTATTAATTAGCACATAAGCCCGTGCGTTGCAACGGGAGAAAAAATTGACATGCATTTTAATAACACAACACCCTTGCTTCGCAACGGACAGCCAGAAGGCCCAAGTCTACGACGTACCGATTGAAACCTAGTGTTTTTTTTACGTAGGTACACATTAGTACCACCTTGGATTTTGGAAAAAATATGGATGTTCTGCAAAAAAAACGGAAAGCATAAATTCAAGGAAAAAAGCATATTATGACGGTGAACCCGAGGAGTCAATCCGTACTTTATTATTATAGCAAACATGCCCGTGCGTTACAACGGGTGAAAACAGCCCTCACACGCCCTTACCCACTGAGCATGATTAAAGACCTCACCCTCATGCCCATAACATAATAAACATGACTAATAACTCATTCTCAGGTCCACATCTTCCATTCAATATAACACCAGACACATGTTTCTGCTTGTCATATTTGTCGTCCTCGTCGCCGGTGGTCATAGTACAGTTTTCACTAACCAAGGTTGGCCAGGTCCAACAGCTGGATTGTTGAACCGCCTTCGTGTCCGGCCAAGATCAAGACCGTTGAACAAAGTTTTTTTAATCGGCTAGCTAATATAATAGGGAAAAGCATTGGAATAATATATGTCAGTGTCACCATGTAAAGTGAGTAGTTTGTGTCAGATAGACCATGAAATCTTAGTTGGACTACTCTCATGCATTTTGACGGGTGTCACTGGGCGAGTGAGACTTGTCATACATGAAGACTTTATGGAGAAAAAAGATTCCTTCATATCCTAGTTTAATAAATTGAATTAAAACAATGCATCAGGTGGGCGTATTTCAAAAATTCCCCAAGTTTTATTAATAAGTATAGATTAAAAAATCATGTTTTAAAAAATGTTTGCCTTTTCAAATTTAAAGTTCAAAATATATTTGAGTTTTTAAATTTTTGCAAATTCTAAAAATAATCACAACAGTACCTCCTAGTTTAAAAAAATGTTTGTGTTTTAAAAAATACTCAGTTTAAAAAAATATTTTTCTTTTGAAAAAAAATCGAGTTTAAATTTTTGTTAACAACTTTGCAAATTTTCGTGTTCTAAAATATATTCACTTTAAAAAGAAATCCTCTTAGTATCTGGCGCGATTGTGCGCTTAATTTGAAATTTCGCGCGGCTAAATGAACACCAAGTCATGTTTGGCCTAGTGGTAGCCTTCTGAACGCTTTAGCATGAGTGTCTGAGTTCGAGTCCTTGCAGCGTATCAATTTTTCTTAGAAACGTTTTACTGGCGCAGGCTGTTGGTTGCCTAATGGGCCGGCCCATTGTGGCTCTGCGCGTCTGCTTTTTCTTTTTTGGCAGAAACGAATCGGGAGAACGATAAAACTACCGCACGACAAACCACCTCGGACGTACGAATTGTAAGACCTGTGTGCCGTGTGCGTGTGGAGAACGCGGCGTGGGCCGGCCCAAAGCAGCGCGGTGTCAAACTACAGAAATTTTGACGGACGGACAAAACTACGAACGGTTCCCTAAATTAGTACCACCTCGTTTATATTATGATTTTGTCTGTACAAATCGTAAAAGCGTATTATGACATAAAAAGAAAGCGTATTGTGACGGTGAACCCGGAGACCTAATCCGTGCTTTATTATTAGGGAGAGATTTTTAGTAGTACCATCGATTTTCTTGATGGTGCGGCGCACCGATCTTTCGCAGGCGTCGCAGTGCATGTATACCCTCACGTTCACCGTGACGCTCTGCACAGGGAACAGGTAGCAGGCGCTCCTCCGTGAGTGAACAGAACAGAGGAGGATCGTGTGTGGAAACGGAACTTGGAATGTGTAAATGAACATGGATTCAGATTCCTGCAAGTTCATTATTTGGGGGGTGAAAAATGCTTACATTCGCGGATGCAGCATTCTCCTCTCCCATGACGCCTACTGAAACTCCGGAGAACGCGATAAGCAGAACACCCTGAACAGATGCGGAACATGGGATGTAAGCGAGCGTGGTTCTGAATCAAGGTGGGCAGAACAGAAGGAGCGTCGACCCCATGTTCTAGCTTCGATAATTATGGTCTCAAACCAGGATTACGAGAAGCGCGTAGCGTTCTTATGATCCTGGGAAAGTGAGAAACGGGAAGGAAATGCAAAATCCCCAGCTGCATTGACGCATTGTGTTGCATGCAGAGCTTGCTCGGCATGCATGCGGAAAGCTCTTCTTACCCGGCTGTTTTGTTCATGTCGATTGCGTGTGCGCTATAGCTCCCCTCCTGGTACGGGCTCGAAGGACCTGCCAACGCTGTAATCGAATCTGAATCTCAAGGAAATCTCCAAGGGCAATTAGATGAGTGAACCTAGCTATGGGATGAAGACGGCCCCGAAAAAGGCAAAGCCGTTCTTGGCCATGACGCCTATGTAGGGAAGAAGAGAGGCAGGAGGAGAAGCTCTTCCTGGCCAGTTATAGGTCTCGGAAGGCAGAGGTTGATCGACCTGTTTGGGAAATCGTATTGACCACCAGCCAACCAGCCATGAGGGTGTTCATGAGAGGCGGGAATGTAGGGAAGAGGCTTGCTTCGGTGGTCCCCCCCCCCTCCCCCACAAAATGAAGAAGGGCATAATGGTCATACAGAAGAAACGTATACCCACCTCCTATCATACCGTATAGACCGACGTCCATATACCTTCAGGAATCCAAAAAAAAAACGACCGCCACACGTGTACGGGAAAATAAGGCCTATGCACGATCTTCTCGCCCGCCCGATGATCACGCACGTCGATCACGTCCATTCCAACTGTGCGATCGCCGCCGCGGCCGATCGCCGCCGCCTGAACCCCATCCGCCGCCGCATCTGAACGTTGTCGTCCGACGGCTCATCGGCTGTGACTGACCGCGCTGTCGCCCCCCCGCCACGGATCCGACCCGCGTCGACCTACGCCGGCGACGTCTACAGCGCGGCCCTCGTGTTGCACGTCGCCGCCGTCTTGCATCTCACCCTCGTGTTGCACGTCGCCGCTGGCTAGACCCCTGCCTGAAGGCCCGTCATCGGACACAGGCGACGTCTGTTGGAAATATGCCCTAGAGGCAATAATAAATTAATTATTATTATATTATATTTCATTGTTCATGATAATCATTTATTATTCATGCTAGAATTGTATTGAAAGAAAACTCAGATACATGTGTGGATACATAGATAACACCATGTCCCTAGTAAGCCTCTAGTTGACTAGCTCGTTGATCAATAGATGGTTACGGTTTCCTAACCATGGACATTGGATGTCGTTGATAACGGGATCACATCATTAGGAGAATGATGTGATGGACAAGACCCAATCCTAAGCCTAGCACAAGATCGTGTAGTTCGTATGCTAAAGCTTTTCTAATGTCAAGTATCATTTTCTTAGACCATGAGATTGTGCAACTCCCGGATACCGTAGGAGTGCTTTGGGTGTGCCAAACGTCACAACGTAACTGGGTGGCTATAAAGGTTCACTACAGGTATCTCCGAAAGTGTCTGTTGGGTTGGCACGAATCGAGACTGGGATTTGTCACTCCGTGTAAACGGAGAGGTATCTCTGGGCCCACTCGCTAGGACATCATCATAATATGCACAATGTGACCAAGGAGTTGATCATGGGATGATGTGTTACGGAACGAGTAAAGAGACTTGCCGGTAACGAGATTGAACAACGTATCGGGATACCGATGATCGAATTTCGGGCAAGTATCGTACCGATGGACAAAGGGAATTGTATACGGGATTGATTGAATCCTTGACATCGTGGTTCATCCGATGAGATCATCGTGGAATATGTGGGAGCCAACATGGGTATCCATATCCCGCTGTTGGTTATTGAACGAAGAGTTGTCTCGGCCATGTCTGCATGACTCCCGAACCCGTAGGGTCTACACACTTAAGGTTCAATGATGCTAGGGTTATAGGGAAAGTATGTACGCGGTTACCGAATGTTGTTCGGAGTCTCGGATGAGATCCCGGGCATCACGAGGAGTTCCGAAATGGTCCGGAGGTAAAGATTAATATATAGGAAGTATGGTTTTGGCCACCGGAAGTGTTCCGGGCATCACCGGTAGTGTACCGGGACCACCGGAGGGGTCCGGGGGTCCACCAGGTGGGGCCACCAGCCCCGGAGGCCTACATGGGCCAATAGTGGGAAGGGACCAGCCCCTAGGTGGGCTGGGGCGCCTCCCACCAAGGCCCAAGGCGCCTCCAAGAGGGGAGGGGGCAAACCCTAGGGCAGATGGGCCCTAAGGCCCACCTCAGGTGTGCTTCCCCCTCTCCCCCTTGTGGCCGCCACCCTAGATGGGATCTAGGGCTGCCGCCACCCCTAGGGAGGAAACCCTAGGTGGGGGCGCAGCCCTCCCTCTCCCCCTATATATAGTGGAGGCAAAGGGGCAACCCAACAGATGAAGTTCCTCCCCTGTTGGCGCAGCCCTACCCCTCTCCCTCCTCGTCTCTCGTAGTGCTTGGCGAAGCCCTGCTGGAGTCCCGCGCTCCTCCACCACCACGCCATCGTGCTGCTGCTGGATGGAGTCTTCCCCAACCTCTCCTTCTCCCCTTGCTGGATTAAGGCATAGGAGAAGTCACCGGGCTGTACGTGTGTTGAACGCGGAGGTGCCGTCCGTTCGGCACTAGGATCATCGGTGATTTGGATCACGACGAGTACGACTCCATCAACCCCGTTCACTTGAACGCTTCCGCTTAGCGATCTACAAGGGTATGTAGATGCACTCTCCTTCCCCTCGTTGCTAGATTACTCCATAGATTGATCTTGGTGATGCGTAGAAAATTTTAAATTTCTGCTACGTTCCCCAACAGTGGCATCATGAGTTAGGTCTATGCGTAGTTTCTATGCACGAGTAGAACACAAAGCAGTTATGGGCGTCGATTTTGTCAATTTACTTGCCGTTACTAGTCTTATCTTGATTCGGCGGCATCGTGGGATGAAGCGGCCCGGGCAGACCTTACACGTACTCTTACGTGAGACTACTTCCACTGACTGACATGCACTAGTTGCATAAGGTGGCTAGCGGGTGTCTGTCTCTCCCACTTTAGTTGGATCGGATTCGATGAAAAGGGTCCTTATGAAGAGTAAATGGAAATTGGCATATCACGTTGTGGTTTTCGCGTAGGTAAGAAACGTTCTTGCTAGAAACCTATAGCAGCCACGTAAAAACTTGCAACAACAATTAGATGACGTCTAACTTGTTTTTGCAGCATATGCTTTGTGATGTGATATGGCCAAAAGGATGTGATGAATGATATATGTGATGTATGAGATTGATCATGTTCTTGTAATAGGAATCACGACTTGCATGTCGATGAGTATGACAACCGACAGGAGCCATAGGAGTTGTCTTAATTTATTTATGACCTGCGTGTCAACATAAACGTCATGTAATTACTTTACTTTATTGCTAAAGCGTTAGCCATAGTAGTAGAAGTAATAGATGACGAGACAACTTCAAGAAGACACGATGATGGAGATCATGATGATGGAGATCATGGTGTCATGCCGGTGACAACGATGATCATGGAGCCCCGAAGATGGAGATCAAAAGGAGCAAAATGATATTGGCCATATCATGTCACTATTTGATTGCATGTGATGTTTATCATGTTTTACATCTTATTTGCGTAGAACGACGGTAGCTTAAATATGATGATCCCTCACTAAAATTTCAAGAAAAGTGTTCCCCTTAACTGTGCACCATTGCGAAGGTTCGTCATTTCGAAGCACCACGTGATGATTGGGTGTGATAGATTCTAATGTTCAAATACAATGGGTGTAAGCCAAATTTACACACGCAATACACTTAGGTTGACTTGACGAGCCTAGCATGTACAGACATGACCTCAGAACACGGAAGACCGAAAGGTCGAGCATGAGTCGTATAGAAGATACGATCAACATGAAGATGTTCACCGATGTTGACTAGTCCGTCTCACGTGATGATCGGAGACGGCCTAGTTGACTCGGATCATGTTTCACTTAGATGACTAGAGGGATGTCTATCTGAATGGGAGTTCATTAAATAATTTGATTAGATGAACTCAATTATCATGAACATAGTCTAAATTGTCTTTGCAAATATGTTGTAGATGAATAGCTCACGTTGTAGCTCCCTGTTTCAATACATTCCTAGATAAAGACCAAGTTGAAAGATATTGTAAGCACTAATGCGGACTAGGTCCATAGTCTGAGGAGTGTCCTCACTGCTACACAGAAGGCTTACGTCTTTGATGCACCACTCGATGTGCAAACCCCTACAACGTCATCTATGGATGTTGTGAACACCTGACAGACACATCCTGATGACTACTTGATAGTTTAGTGCACCATACTTTACGGCTTAGAATCGGGATTCCAATGACGTTTTGAACGCCATAGAACATATGAGATGTTCCAAGAGCTGAAAGTGGGATTTTAGGCTCATGCCCGTGTTGAGAGGTGTGAGACCTCTGACAAGTTCTTTTGCCAACAAGATGGAGGAGAATAGCTCAGCTAGTGAGCATGTGCTCAGAATGTCTGGGTGCTACAATCACTTAAATCAAGTGGGAGTTAAACTTCCAGATAAGATAGTGATTGATAGAGTTCTCTAGCCACTATCACTAAGCTACTAGATCTTCGTGATGAACTATGACATGCAAGGGATGGAGTTGATCCCGGAGCTGTTCGCGGTGCTTAAGACCGCAAAAGGTAGAAATGAAGAAGGAGCATCAAGTGTTGATGGTTTAACAAGACCACTGGTTTCAAGAAGGGCAAGGGCTAGAAGGGAAACTTCATGGATGGCAAACCAGTTGCCGCTCCAGTGAAGGAACCCAAGGTTGAACCCAAACCCGAGACTAAGTGCTTCTATTGTAAGAGGAACGGTCACTGGTAGCGGAATTACCCCA